CGCTGGGCTCCGGGCCTCCCACGCCGTGTGGGGCGGGTCCCCCGGGGCTCTCCGCGGGCCGGTGCGGGTGCAGCCCCTAACGCAGCCGCCCTTTCCTTTGCGCAGGTGTTGGGCCTAGACTCCCCCCCCCCTTCCCCGGTGCTGGTCGTTTTTTGGGTAAATCGTTAGGCCGCGTTTGCAAGCTTTTGGGAGGGGCGTTTGCACCCGAGAGCTTGCAAAGGCCAATTTCTGCAGCTGTTCAGTCGGTGGAATAAAAACTATCACCTTTGTGCAGAGAGCGCACGTCCCGGAGTGCCGCCGCGACATCTCCGAACCTGGGCTGGGTGGTGCACAGGTCACCGCGGGGTGCTGCGAAACGACGCCGCCGGCCTAACAAAAAGGTAAAACACAGGGGTCGGGACCTGCTTCGGTGCTGAATCTTGCTCGGCGGCCCGGTTTCTCATGAGCAAGCCTTCCAGCATGGCCGGGTCTGGCGTGACCCTGCTCATTCCTGCAGCGCTTGCAAAAGCAGCCTTGAGATGGTTTGAGGCCTTGCTCCGTGCTGCTTTTGCTTTTGGAGCAAGGTTATAGAAATTTCAGACATGCCCAGCGAGACTGCAGCATGGCCTCTGAGCCAAGGCACGCGCGGCGCCGGCTCCTGGGGCTGCGAGCGGCAAGCAGGCGCTTGCGATAAGTCCCTCCTGCCCTCTCTGTTCTTTGAGTTGCCAGAAGTCCCAATTCCTGTCTGCTCATGTGCGTGCTGTCTAACCTGCTGTTTGCTTTTACTTTCGGGTTTAGTGAATCATCTCCTTGTCTGCAGCCTGTGGCTTCCCTGCCGTGCTGCTTGAACAGAAGAGCTCGCGTTGCTGGGCTTGGTAAGGAAGCTTAAAACCCAGATCCTTGGGAAGGGAAGAGGAGGGCTTCTCTGCTCTCTTCTTCCCCTTTCCCCTCTACTTTGTCTCTCAGAGCCTCCTGACCACAATCTGTTTCTGAGAAATCAGTGTCCGTTTCGTATGAACCCCAGGCTGGAGCACTTGTGGCTTCAGTCTGCCAGTCACGTCAAGCTGTGGTTTCATGTCCCTCCTGGCGGGGGGAAAAAGGCAGGTTCAGCCAAGGTGGAGTCCTAAACTCCACACACGGCTGCTGTAGATATTCCAGGTGTTTCTCAATATCATAGTGTGCACTTATCTAATACTCAGATCCCAGGAGAGGCCTCTGCACTGCCTCTTCTCCGGGTAGGCGAGCTGGGTTCTGTAGAGTTAATTACGTGGTGCTGTAAAACTGCCACATAGATGGACTTAAACAACCTCCTGAGGTCCCTTCCAACCTTAATTTTCTAGGCTTCCCATCCCCTTACGTTCTCTCTGGCTGTGCTGCCATCATTTCATCTTCAAGTGAACTACGCCCTGCTAGGTTAGGACTCCTTTGTGCTGCCCCATTCAAGTCGGTAGCTGTTTTTCAAAGGCAGGACATGTCCTGGCTTGTAGGTTCAAAGTGAAATGGCTGCCCGTCAGCAAGTTGCCCCCATGCTAACCACGTGCTCAGACCTTTGACGTCCTTGGGCATAGGACAGCTGGCTCGCACCCTTTCATTGTCCCTAAATCACAGGTGGGGCTATTAGTTTGTGCCTTCCCTGAGCTCTCTGGATTCCCGCAAGCCGTGCAGCGTGGCTGGGTCTGCCTGTGACCTTGCTCATTCCTGTAGTGCTTGCAAGAGCAACCCTGAGATGGTTTGAGGCCTTGTTCTGTTTCCCCTTTGGGACGAGGTTACAAAAATTTCAGACATTCTGGCCTGGAGCTGCCAGTGCTGGAGGGAAGGGAGAGGAGAAGCTCTTTGGGGCAGTCTTGAATGATGAGACTGTCAGGTGGGATGATGGATCCTTGGATGAAGGCCTGAGAGGCCACATCCAGTTAAGTCCCGTTGGGGGCCATTTCTGCCCTGCCCTTTTGGGGCCAGGATAGAATCTGCCTGCAGCTGAGTTGCTGGCTCCCTGCCTTCCCCAGGTCACTGCAATAAGCTATTCAAGCAGTCAGCAGGTGGTGTGGTCAGAAAGTTTTTAAGGTGTGAAGTCTGGCAGGTTTTAATGGTAGGTCTGCTCTGCAACGCAACAAACCAGCTTGAATAGTTATCAGCACATGCCTTGGAGGCAGCCTCCACCCCCCAAAAGCAGTATCAGCTTGGGCTTAAAAACAAGGGATCCTTGAATTTTAATGCCAGGTCTCCTGCTAATGAGCCTCAGGATTCATGGTGCCATCCTGCTTCACAAGGGCGTTGCAGGGAACAGCTGTGGTCTTACCCAGCCCCCTGAGCCCTACCTGCTCCTGCAGCAGCAGTACCGATCCCTTGTGGAGGCTGCTGGCTACCAAGCTGGCAGCTGCCACGTGGGAGGCGGATAGCTTGCATCTCACTTGGGTTCATCCTCCTGCGCATTTCCCGTTAAGTGGGAACCAGTTGCCATGGTAACAAGTCTGTAAGCCTTGACCGTGCCCATATCTGTTCACTCTGCTGCAGGCCCAGATGCAAAAGCAGCAGCGATGGCTCCCGATCTGACCAGCAAAACATCAGGAGACGTGACTTGAGCCAGCACCCTTCGTTCCTAGGGGACGTCCTGTTCAAAGAACCAGCATGTGCAGTGGAGACCAGCTGACAGACTCCAACATCCTCCGTAATCTTCAATGAGAGCTGGCTAGTGCCCCAGAGGAAACATCTAGTGTGGGAGGCCAGTCGCTGCCGTCCCTAAAGACTTTCTCATACAGTGTCTGGGCCCTAGTCATTCTGAAGGATGTCCTGGCTCTGCCTCTATGGCCCTGCCTGGTTTTGTAGCTCTGGCCTGTATCGTGTGCTCCCTGCTCCCATAGGGCATTTGACATTTGCTGACATGAGTGTTTGAAGGAAAAAGGATGGGTGGTGGTGGAAGGGGACCTCCCTGTGCCTTCACATGGCGTTCTGCTCAGCCAGATAGCCCTAATCTGATGGGGACAGCCCTGTTGTGAGGAGTCACCTCAGGCTGTGCTGCTACAGCTGCTGTCAGGACAGCCATGGGAACTGGATTCTCAGTATGAGCTGGGGCTAGCAGCAGCGTCCTCTGTGCAGGGCCACTTGAGCTACAGATCAAGCTCTTCCTCCTAGGGGAGTCCTGGTTCATGGGCCTTGAGTGTGGTGCCAGGTCTGGGAGTTGGGTGCAAGTCCTGTTGGCTGTCAGGGTGGGCTGCTGTGTACCTTGGTCATGTTGGTGTAAGGATGGGCCTCGCCTTGGGCGTTTGTCCCCTCTGATTCTGTACAAATACCAATAAACAAGTAAAGCCTGGCTTCCTGTCCTGCTTCTGAACCCAGTGGCTTCCCTCAGCCCTATCCAAGGAATGACACCCAAACTGGGAAAGAGAGTGTCAAGAGCTGTGGTATGTCTTGTTGCTTTCTGCCATTGGCCTCTGCTCCCTGGTGTCTATGGAGCTCATGGGCCAGACCCCCCCCAGTAGCCCAAAGTCTGTAGGTGTTTAGCCCTGGTGCTGGGTTTGGGCATTGTCCCCCAGGTGGTGGATGTCTTTGTTCAGGCCCTTCCTCCCCCCTTGGTTGGCTTGATGGCATATGCTAAAGCCTCTTCTGTGGGTCCTGGTCTGACAGCATGTGCTCTGTTCTGGGGAGGCTACGAGGCCTGGCTTTGTAAAAGTGTTGCGGCAGGACTGCCTGCAAGAGCAGGAGCCTAGGCTCTAACCAGAGCTCCACTCTGGCTTTGTATATCCTCCCCCAGCTCCCTGCAAGGCCACTCCCTGTACGGAGGAGATGCAGCCTGCACCACAGCTTCTTGCTAACTGAGCTGCCAAGCAGCATGACGCTTCTGGGGGTGGCTTGTCCCAGCGTTCCTGCCACCACAGCTGCCCTTCTGTGGCAGTGTGGTATCACGCACCTATGCTGACTGGGGAACTCTGGGCTCTAGCTTACGTTCGAGCTGCCTTCCTTCCCAGTGGGCCAAACCAACTTCTTTGTTTGCTCAAAAAAGCATCTTTGGCTCAGCACCACCCCAGGCATCCAGTTCCGGCCCCCTGCTCTCAGCAGAGGCTGCTGTGTAGTTGCCCTCAGAGCTGCTGCATTTCAGTCTTCTGCACCCACACAGGTCACTAAAAGCAGGATGGCCTTCCTTTACAGGGGAATGAATCGCTCCCTGATACCTCTGGGAGAAGAAGCTAGATTGATAACCAGGCTTGGGTGGATGTCCCTGTGTGTGGCAGTGTGGAGTAAGCCCCATATGGTAGTGGGAGCTGGGAGCCTGAGTTGCCAGTCCCAGCTCTGCCACTGCCTCCCTTTTTGCCTATAGCCAAGTTCCTTAAGGCCTGACTTCTCTGAGAGGCCATGCTCCTAGTACTCCTGTTGTCAGTGGGGAGCTTGGGCCCCTTGCTTCCCTTGCGTGGGTCTGACATGCCAGCAGCACCCTCGTGCTCTCCCTGGGCCATGCTGAAAGGCCTTTTGGTATGTTGAGGACTGAATACATGGCACCTTCAAGGGGCAGCCAGTGGGCCTTTCCAGGTGCTGTGCACACTCATCTGCTGAGGCGTGGCTGTAGGAGACTCAGCTCCCACAGAGAAGCACCCCAATGGCTGGCTGACTCGCACTACCCCAACCCACAGCCCTGCTGGCATGGGAGCTCAGAAACCCTATGAAACTGGTGGGAACCTGAGTCCTCCTGACCCTGGGACCCAGCTCTGGGGCAGGTCAGGGGAGCCATAGGGACAGGAAATGGCCCATTGTACGAGTGGGCAGGAAACCCCACAGAGTTGTCCAGGGGTCGGAAGTGTAGGTGTTCAGAAACCACCCCTTGGGCTTTCTTTGGCTTGCTTGTCTTGCAGAGGACCGTGCAGCTACTGTTTGGGTGGCTTCTGATCTGGACACTTCTCTGCGCTCTACTGAAACCTTTAAAATATTTAGCAGCCAGCAATATGGTTCCTTCCCCCAAGGCAGCTGAGCTGAAGGTGTCTGGCCTGGGAGAGGTCACCTGCAGGTAAGGATGGTGCATGTACAACCCCACATTGCTCCAAAACCAGCATTTGGAGCACCTCAAATTAAGGCTGTTTGGACCCAGGCTTTTGCATCACATAAAGCCTGAATCCAGGACCGCAATCCATATCTAACCTGTCCTTGTTTAAACCTGTGAACCATTTCTGTTCTAACTAAAAATATCCCTCTTGATCTGGAATCTGAGGCTGGAGACAACGTGGGGAGTCTCAGGCAAAATTATCTTTGCTTCTGAAGGTGCTTTTTTTATCCTGTTTGTGGTGTGCTTAACCCTTTGGGTCCCTCCCTCCCATTGTTGGATTTTCTGGGGGATTTGTAAGTTGAGGTCTCTGTTTGCAGTTACTGACTTCTGTTCAGCAGGGAAACACGGTTTTTCCTGAAACTGGACCTGACAACATGGGGTCAACTTCTATGCAAGGCTGATGTATAATCAGAACGATATGATATGTAGCTGCCTGTAGGTAGGGGTGCTGACCTCTGGATCGAGCAATCCTCCTATATCCCCTGATCCTTAGCTTCTCTCTTAAAAGGGTGCATGTGAACAATGGTGTTGACAGTCCAGTCCTTCTCAACTGGCCACACAGCTGCCCCAGATGGGGTCAGTACCTCGCACCCTGAGGATGCATCCCCATTTGGACATACCCTGGCAAGGACTGCAGCAGCAGCCAGCCTGTGCTGAGGATACAGGAGGGGGCCAAGCAGGGCTGGGTCAGGACCAGGGTTTGGACTAGATTGACCTCACGGGCCCAGCTGGGGCCAGGCTTTCGCTGACAATAGCAATGAGCTGGGCCCCCCTGCACCCTGTTCGGAGCAGAGAGTGCCGTATATATGCCCCGGGGACTACAGAGACACTGACCTGGCTGCAGGGCCCACCCAGCTGCGAGTGGGAGCCGGTGGATTCCCACCATCCAGCAGAAAAAATCCACCTGCTGATGAGCGTCACTGGGACAACAGCCCAGAAACCCCCTGGGCCATTCCCCCCCTCCACACACGTCCCATGGGGACCGTCCCAGGAAGACGTGGCGGAGGCTGAGCTGCAGGGCAAGCCGCTCCCCCCACCCCCCAGAGTAGCAGGAAGGATGCTGCGTGGTCCCGCGTCTGCCACGGCCTGCCGAGTGTCACAGGGAGGAAATGAGTCATGGCAGAGCTGGGTGTCACGAAGCGCTCAGCAGCTATTTCAGTGCACCATGCAAGCTGGGCTGATAAAGCAGCTGCTTATGTAGAATGGGGCCTGGTGCCCTGCCCCCAGCCTCTGGCGCTGCCGAGGGGCCCTGCCTCCCCTTCAGCCCCAGGCCAGAGCCTCTTGCGTCCACCCCACAGGATATTTGTGGCTCCAGTGCCCCTCTCTACTCCCCACCTAGCTGTTCTGCAAGCCCAGGCTGGCAGCGCCTCTGTGAGGCTCCCTGCAGGGAGGTATTGGCTTGAGGCAGGAATATGGGCAGGGAGAAAATGTGGCCCCAGCATCTGGGGCCATGCTGGCGTGTCCCAGGGCCTGGTAAGAATCCCCCTCAGCCATGCTGGGAGCCTGGACACAAGGGCACCCCTCAAATCCACTGGCTTTGGGGCATATGCCCATGGCCCTCTCCACATCCTACCCTGCAGAGCTTCTGCCCCTGCCCACGCTCCCCTGCACTGGGGCGTGCTGACACCAGCTCCCTGGCATACATGGCACCTATGACAGGCCCCCCATCCCATGCGTGTTGTGCAGGTGGGGGTTATCTGAGCCAGGGACCCCTCGCAACACCGGGCAAGGCAGGCAGCAGGGCCCCTGCCAGGCTCCTCGCACGGCCCGCCTCACCGGCAACGCCCCTTCCCCGCCACACACAGGAAGCTGTGTGCCGGGCTGGCTGGTTTTGAAAGCCCTCTTTCCTCTTGCACGCGCTGTCTGCATCTCTCCCCAGCCCCGGCCCCGTGTGCCCAGCAGCATGGCTGAGCTGGAGGGCCTCGAGTTCGGGAAGTCTGACTTCGTGCTCCTCGACGAGGTGACCATGGAGCAGTTCCTGGCCAACCTGAAGCTGAGGTACCCGCTGCCTACCATGCTACTTATCATGCTAACCAACATGGTACCTAGGGCAGGGCGTGGGAGCTAGGAGGCTGTGGCTCAAGTCCATCCTCAGGCATCCTCAGGCTGGGCTGGGGGTCCGCAGGTGGTCTGCATTGTCCAGGAAGATCAGGATCGCAACTGGGGTGGTCAGAGCTGTTGTCCATCCCTGCCTAATGCTGGGGTGAAGCAGGAGCCCTGATGGCAGGTTGGGGAGCACAATTCCCATGGGACTTGCCCCTCTGCACCGAGGGAAACCCAGCAGCCGGGCCACACCCCAGCATGGTAGTTACCCAGACTTCCCTCGGTGACGTCAGCGGGAGCCGGGATGTACTCCTTGCTTCCAGTTTCAGGCTAGCTGAGCTGAGCTGAGCTGAGCAGAGCAGGGCGGCTGCACCTCACTGACCGGCAGCAGGTCCTCACCCCAGAGTTGGAAGCAGCAGCCCTGGCAGAGCCTGGGTGCATGCCCTGGGTCTGGGTGCTCTCCTGGCTGGGGTCAGAGCCTGGGGCTGCTGCTGCTCTGGACCCTTGCTGCAGAGGGAACAGGGAGCATCTGGCATGCCCCGGTCACAGGTCTCTTGCAGCCTCCGGGCTTCCTGGGTGGCCAGCTCTCCGTGGAGAGCAGCCACTGTCAGCCAGGAGCCCTGCCCTGCCCTGCCCGGGGCA